TATATATATATATATATATATATATATATATATATATATATATATATATATATATAGGCATGCTTTGCACCCTATGGTCCAAGGTTCGAGACCTACCACAGCCACTCAACTTTGGTGGTAGACAGCTTTGCTATCGCTCGGTTCACACCTAAACTAGCGGGGCCTTATGTGGTTCGTCACTACAAGCCCCGGGATTTGGGTCACCGGTTTTCAACATTGAACAACAGGTCCTCGTGCCCATGGGATTTACCCCGTCTCCTGTTCATCACAATAGTGTGTGCAATGAACAGCATTATAACTCGGTTATTGGTTTCTAGTGTTTTCAACTATGATGCCTGGTCAGTCAGCCTAGATGTTTACGGCTTACGGCTGATATCGAACATGTTTTTTGGAAGCTATCAGTCATCATTAGGGTTGGTCAGCCATAAGAATCAAACGTTATCCACCCGTAGGTGTTTCCATCAACAGAAGCCATTAAATATATGAACAAACAGACGGGAAACGTTCACGCAGTTGTTCCTGTTTTGTGCATGTTTGTGCTACTTTGCACCCGATCTAGTCTGTTCGCTGATGTCATCTTTTCAGCACAATAGATGAGCGCTTGCCCGCAGAGCCGGTAACTATCAATGTGATATCTGCATTGTAGCGTCCTGGAAAGGAGTATTTGGCTAAATTGAGATATCCGTAAGCAGATTTATTACTGTGCTTTAACTTCAAAAGTGAGAACATTCTATTTCAGGATCCTCAATGGACTACCCAAGTCAAGCGATAACCAGTGACTGGCACAGTTACAGAGTGAAAGTATTTCCCATTGTCAGGCTGATTACAATCGAAGTAATGGAGCAAAAATTGAAAAAGCAATAAACTTGGCTCGAGTTCTTTATTCAAAATGGCATGCAACATCTGTAACATACACAATAGGATCACAACTCGTATTTTTTATATTCCATTCCATCCGGTGGCTTCATTTCGACCTTTCCCTTTCCTACTTCTCCCCAATTGGTACTAAGCACTGTTCCTTGGGATTCCGTCTGCAACCAAAAAACCAAAAAAAGCTCATTAGTTGCATTAACAAGTTTGAATTACAAAGCGTCTCATTTTTATGTCATTCTTCATCATATTGGGCACGTATAGGTGTGCTTGAAATGAACATTCCACTTGTTTCAGCTGATTAAATGCTGCCAATTGACATCAGGTTACCCGAGAAGTAAATTATCTCCAAAGATATAAGGCTTCCGATCCGGACGGCCTGTCCCTGTCGGTTTTTAAGGATGGAGGCTCAGCGTCAGTCCAGGAGTTGACAAAACTCCTAGGATCAGTGTGGGGGAGGGAACAGGTACAAACTGAATGGTTTAATTCTGTCATCATATCGATTTACAAGAAAGGCGACACATCACCTTGTGAAAATCACAGAGGAATTACTTTATTGAACATCGCTTCTAAACTTCTCTCTGGCATGATACTCCGTCGATTGTCTGCCACACGTGAACGGTGTACGCATGAGAACCAAGCTGGTTTTAGACCTGGCCGAGTTTGTATCGACCACATCTTCACTCTTCGCCAAACTCTGGAGCACCGGCATTCTTTTTGTAGACCCACCATTTCTGTCTTCCTCGATCAGAATGCGGCTGTTGACTCGATCGGCCGCTCGAAACTCTGGTGCTGCCTTTCCCTGAAGGGTGTGCCCGAGATATTTATTTCAACATTACAATTCCCTTATACTAATAGCGGAAGCCGAGTCCAAGCTTACGACATTTTTTCACCCGAGTTCATCACGGAAAGTGGTGTTCGTCAGGTTTGCCCTCTGTTTCTGTTTAACTTTGTCCTAGATTTAATTCTTGAAACAGCCCTATCCTCGTGCGAGGATATTGGCATCGATTTGCTACCAGATGCTAGACTGTCTGATCTGGAGTATGCAGACGACATTGTGCTACCAAGCGAAGACACAGCTAAGTTGCAAGCGTTTCTGGATAGCTTGAGCGCCAGCGTAGCCATGTTCGGTATGCGTTTTGTACCATCAAGGTGTAAAATGATGCTACCAGATTGGGTTGTTCCTCTCAGGAAGGTTAAATTCCGAAACAATCCGGTCGAAAATTCAACGCTGTCCTTGCCGCAGTCGAATCAAACTCCCGTGACCAAAAAAAACGGAAAAACATTTCGTTTGCAATCCGATACGGCCTCCGATATCACACTGATGTCTAAACGCACTTGGAGGAAAATTGGCCGCCCAAGGTACACATCAACAATCAACACGGCCAGAAACGCATCAGGAGGTAAAACCAATTTACTTGATGAATTCGAGTGAGATGGAAATAGCAAGCAAAATAAGTCATGGATCAACCTGTTTCGTCGACTGTGAATTGGACTTGCTTGGTATCGATTGGATAGATCGCCTGCAACTTACACACATGACAATCGATGAGCTATGTGCATCCGCACCAAGTGGACAAATCAGCGCAATCAGATAGGAACACCCTCTTGTCCTTTCAAAACAAGTACGCTGCGCTTTTTACCGAAAGCTTGGGCTGCTGCGTGAAAGTAAAGATAGTCCTTCACTTAAAGCCAAACGCCAAACCGGTTTTCAGACCGAAAAGACCAGTGCCATGTGCAGTTTTACCCGCCGTCGGCGCAGAACTCAAACGCCCAGAAGACTCCGGAGTCCTGAAGCCGGTCAACTATTCTTCTTGGGCTGCACCGATTTTTGTCGTGAAAAAGCCGAATGGAACGATCCGTATTCGTGCTGATTGCTCAACTGGTTGGAATGACGCATTGGACGACCACAAATACTCATTACCACTCCCTGATGATATCTTCACAAAAATGAATGGCAGTAATTATTTTGCCAGACGCTTATTTACAAGTTGAAGTTGCTGAGGAATCCAAACACCTACTGGCCATAAATACAGATCGCGGACTTTTTCAGTATACCCGTTTGCTTTTTGGGGAGAAAACAGCACCAGCGATGGTTCAGTAAATCATGGATACTATGCTCAGTGGTATTGACGGAGCTGTGGCGTACCTAGACGATATCATAATTGTCGGTCAGACAAGAGGAGCTACTCTCCCGAATAGACTTTGTTCTGCAAAGGATAGTGGACTATGGATTCCGACTAAAACGAGAAAAATGTGAGTTCTTCCTGAATTCTGTGAAGTACCTTGGTTTCATTATAGACATTGCACCCAATTTACACCGCCAATCGGTTACAACGATGGGCTACAATACTCCTTGGGTACAACTTCACCATTAAGAGCACTCTGACGGATAAGATTGGCCAAGCAGATGCCCTTTCACGGTTGATCCATTCCAACCGGGAACCGGAAGAAGCAGTTATTGCATCAACTGCTTTGGAACCTGAAATCGTGAGGTCACCAGCAGCGACAATGTGGCAACAAGCGATGCACTACCCCAAGTCACACTGGCCATCTACTTGTCCACCCGGAGAACTGCGACAACTGCCTCAACGTCGAAATGCACTATCGATCGTTGACGGTTGCCTTCTCTTTGCCGATCGAATGGTTGTCCCTGAAGCCCTCCGCTGCAGGATTCTGACCCAGTTCAATAAATGACACCCCGGAATAAACCGGATGAACGCTCTCGCCCGAAGTTACGTCTATTGGCCCAATATGGATGAACAAATGCAGAGGATATTTCGGAGCTGTCTTCAATGTGCCACTGCACAAAAACTACCTAACCGACAATTACCACAACCTTAGCCGAGACCAGAAAAGCCATGGGTCCCCTTCCATATTGACTTTGCTGGACGGATCAATGGTCAGATTTTCCTGATTGTTGTCGATGCTTTCAGCAAGTGACCAGAGATTTTCGTCACGCGAGATACTACCATGACGGCAACAATTTCGAATTAAGGCTATTTGTTTTTTACTTTCGGTGTTCCGGAGACGCTTGTGTTCGAT